TCTCTCTCTCCGCCTTCTATCTTCTCTCTCTCTCCATACATACATATCTGTCCACCTGTCCCTCTCCATCCCTGTATACATAGACTCACCTGAAGAAACCTCGCCTCCACTTCCGCCGCAACCACCGGCTTGAAACCCTTCGAAACGTTCGCCATGGCGCCCACGCCGGCCGCAAGCTCCGCCCCAATCGCATCGTCACCACCCTTCTCACTCTCGCCCACCAGCCCCGCCACTCCCCCCGCGCCCGCCGCCGCCACCCGCTGCAGATTTTCGGCAATTCTCCTCATCTGGGGCCCCAAAACGCCGTCGAGGAGTTGCACTTGCTTGGGCACCGGGACGTTGGGCATGCCCACAAGAAAGCCGATGGTTTCGTACAGATTGAGCTTGGCTTCGTCCGACAGGTCCATGGGGTTGCCTTGCGGAGAATCAAGGAGAGCTGCAGAGTCCGAAGGGGGGCGAACCGAGTTTTGTGGGCCGGGGTGAGCCGTAGTGTACAACGTAGCTCCATAAAAATAGAAAGGACGATAAACCCGAAGTTGCCATAATGCACACCGTCTCGCAGCTACAGGACGCCCAGGAAGGGATCGCCGCTCAAGCACCTGGCGCAATTATCGCACAGCATACTTGCGTGCAGGTAGGCAAAAACGTAGGCGCGAAAGGCGTAGAAGGTGACATCAACAGCCGAGGCGGTGGCTGTGGTGGGGGCGGCGCAGAGACCTGATTTGGCTTGCGCAAAGGGGACTTAAGCTCCATCAAAATCAAACCCGATGGGGCGAACTCTGTCTTGTGGAAATGCTGTTCCGCTCACATCCATTGAAACCCTGACGGGACAAAGCTGGCCTTGAAAAAAAAAAGGGCATCACCCACCAAAAAACAACCAACCAACCAACCCTAATACTAAAGCCCCGACGACACAGGCAAAGCAAACAATATTTCACTTTACCACCCGGCCTCGTGGCCGCGGCAGCGAAGAGCGGAAGAGGTGCTGGCTGGCGTCGCGATTGACGACAAAACACGACAAACAAAAAACAAAAAAACGCGCACAATATTGTAAAGTGCGACACTCACGGTG